ACAACGAGTGAATCATTTGAATCGTTCATATAGCTGATTCATTCATTCAGTTATTTTAGTATTGTTTATGTACTATTGTAGTGTTTATTAATATTTTGAATAAGTTTTTTTTATATAATTTTAGTTTTCATTTAGTTTAAATTGTAATAATTTTGTTAAGTTCAAGTACATTTGCGTTTTGTTGTTGATTTATTTCTATTTAGCTTTTTTAATTTCAGTTTTAGTAAAGATTCAGGAACAGTTGACTGACTTCATGAGTGAGTCATTGAATCATTTGCTTGACGGATTCGTTCAAAATAGTGTTGTCAAAATGAAAAAAAGTTCACTTAAATTAGAAGTTATTTTTTAAAGTCTAATAAATGTTCAAATTGATAGCTCTCGATTATACTGTAATGTTGAGTGGCTAGTCAATGGTTAAATATTAGGGGGAAACAATGTCATAGAGACATCAGTAGTGTTGGTATCAGTACTGGCCTTCAGTCATAAAAAAAGATGCCATTAAACAGATATACTGTCTTTATGTTGTTTGTACATTCATTTGAACATTGAATGTGAAATTATTGAAATTTAAAAGTATATTTAAAAACTTTAATGTAAGGTGGGATTAATCGCGATTAATCATGATTAATTTCAGAAAAATATGCGATAATTACTTATATTTTTTTTAGCAGTTGACAGCATTAGTTCAAAAGCATTAGTTCATTCAGGAAGAAAACTGCTGTGCTGTGTAGGATGCTTTTGTTTCGATCTCTTTTCATTGTGGATCAAAACTAATATTGTGACTGAAATGTATGTTACTCAATTTTAACTTCTTGTTTATTGAACTGTTGTATAAGATAAGCATATAGTTAATTCACATATCCTCAATATCCAGCTATACCAACTGTGATACTGTTATGCTCTTTGAAAGTAGACAGGGGTTCACAGGGTTCATAAGTTTGCATGCTATTATTATGTAACTGAACACGAGGTCTGTGTTACTTGCAGGCATATAGTTGGGTTTCTCTGGCCTGTGCGTTTTGTCTGTGGGTTACAGATATAGACAGCATGATTTATGATGGCAGAAG